AAAGGGGCGATCAGGTGGGCCTCGCGCGACGCCCTGGGACGGCGAGCAACACGTGGGACCGCGGGCGGAGCTGGAATGGGGGCAGGGGGCTGGGGCCGTCTGTTGGGCGGTGTTTTGAAGAGAATGGAAAGCTGTTCCTCTCTTGCAACCTCTACGGGAGATTTTGCTGGGTCCCGTCCCTGTGTCTCTGGAACGTTCAGTGGGGGGAAGCGAGTTCCTGTGAATCGTGGAGCCGGTAGGGGTTGCAGCCTTGAAAGGCACCGCTTTGACCTTTTGTAAAAGTTACGGGCTGCGGCTGTGTGCTCGGGCTGGGTTGATTCTGCGAACCCATTATAAGCCCTCTACAAGGAAAATTCCAAACGGGAGAGAAACTTGGTTCAGGGAGAAGCCAGGCTTCTGTCTTGAGTACTGGTTGGTGTCTTCAACTCGGAACGTCTGCAGTTGGCCTCTTGTACCGCTCAAGGTAGTGATTACCGGCCCTATACAAATAGGAAATTGAATTTCTCTCAGCTCTGTCCTGTTGTGTGCAGTGAACATCAGCTGACTGTTTGGCTAATGCTTTGAGTAGATTGCAGATCATATTGTTCTGACATGGTGAAAACGTCAGTCCAGCAAAGCTGCGACTTTGCATTTGTTAACTCTGCCCCTAAAAGAATCTTTTCATGCGGGAAGGAATCGCAGGTATAATGGACTTGGGAGCTGAGGCCAGTTTAGAGGGGAGGGGTGTTCTGAGGTAGTAGGGATAATTTAACCCTCTGATATTCATTCTTGCATAAAGTAAAGAAAGGATTTGTTTTAGTTTCGTTGTGTTTATTTGTTGTGCACGATACTAAGATACATAAGGGCATTTTCACACACGTGTGTACGGAATGTCAAGCAGATTCCTCCTCGTACTCCACCATCCTCTCTTTTTTGCCCCCTCTACTGTTTAACCTTTTCTTCCCTTGTACTATGTAGCTGATACGTTTGAGATCTTTAAATTAGGCTTTAAAGGCTCTGTTTTAGTAAATATATTAGTAATAAATATTGGAATATTTTTCGCTAAAAGTTTTTAAATCAGTAGACTCATTCTCTGTTTTTTATTTTCATTATTTTGAGACAGGGTCTCCCTGTAACCCTCAACTGGTGTGGAACTAGATATGTAGACCAACCAGGTTGACCTCACAGAGATCCACTTGCCTCTGCCTCCAGTCTGGGCATTAGGGAATTAAACTCATTCTCTGTTTTTTATTTTCATTATTTTGAGACAGGGTCTCCCTGTAACCCTCAACAGGTGTGGAACTAGATATGTAGACCAACCAGGTTGACCTCACAGAGATCCACTTGCCTCTGCCTCCAGTCTGGGCATTAGGGAATTAAACTCGTGCACCACCACACCCTTTAGTAGAAGAAGAAATCATTTTATTTTAAGCAGGGCTACTTTGTCATAGGAATTACTGAGCCAGATAAATACTGCCAGGTTTGCGTGAAAGAGTCTGAGCAAAAGATTGTGAAGTTGAATTTACACTAGCAAATACAATTTCCAAAATAAAATTTTGAGTTTAAAATTGATTTGACTTTATTAAAATGTAAACTTTAGTAATAGCTATATTAGTGTTTACTCTAGGCCCTTTCCTCACTCTAAAGCAACATTGTAACATTTTGCATTACTGCATTCTAAAAGCAGTAGCATTTAGATCCAGGTCAGCCTAATGTTAAGGCATAATTCTTCAGTTAGACAAACTACTCTGTCTTTCACTTAACTATTATGTGTGATTAATATCTCCATTAATCATTTTTCTGACTCAGTTTATCTTATGCATTTTATTGAAATTGACAGTGTCACCAAATATTCAGGGTTTAATATGTAGTATTAAAATCAGTCAAAAACAAGACATTGATCATTTGGCACTTGATTTTGGGGGAGGGTGATGGGAATCAAACTCAGGGTCTTGCACACTCTAGGAACATTCCTATACTTAGACCAAACCTCTAGTATTGATTCCTAAAACCTCATGATATAGAAATTCTCTTGCCAGGCGTGGTGGCACACGCCTTTAATCCCAGCACTCGGGAGGCAGAGACAAGCAGATCTCTCTGTGAGTTCAAGGCTGGCATGGTCTACATAGCAAGTTCCAGGCCAGCTGGGGCTACAGGGAGACCCTGTCTCAAAAAGATTAAAGAGGAAAAAAAAATATTCTCAACAAGGGAACTAAGCTCAGGAGTTAGAAGTCTAAAGTCATTCAGGTGTAAATAATGTGGAGGCTAAAGTCTGAAGTTTGGCTTCTACAACACAAATCTGGCTCCAAAACTTATTTTTCATTTTTCACTAAGACAAAGGGTTCTTCATGTAGATTTTTGGACAGAATTGAAGGAGTACCTTGGCTTGATTAAGGAAGCTCAGTTGAAGAAAACACCTGCCTATTTATTTTCCTTAGCTTCTGAGATTTATATAGAAAAGAATTGAAACTCATTGGTCTGCAACTGTCTCCAAGAAAAATTATGTTTTTCATATTCTTTTGAAGATTTTTGCAGATAATTTGAAGTATTTGTACTTATTACTCCTTGATATGTTAAAATTTTACATGCGTATTTAAAGTTTGTTTGTTTTTTTTTTTCTTTTTTTTTTTGTCTGAGACAGGGTCTCCCTGTAGCCACAGTTGACCTGGATTCCTTTTGGAGACCAGGCTGGCCTTGAACTCACAGAGATCCATCTGCCTCTGCCTCCTGAGTACTGGCATTAAAGATGTGCACCACCATGCCCGGCTTGTAAAAAAAAATTTTAACTTTTAATTACATATATGTACATGAGTGCAGGTGCCCACTGAAGCCAGAGGTGTCAGATTCTCCTAGAGCTGAAGTTACAGGAGGTTGTAAACCACTTTACTTGGGTGTGAGGAACTGAATTTGGGTCCTCTACAAGAGCAGTATAACCACTGAGCCATCTTTCCAGTTCCCTAAACATATTTTGATAACTGCTCTGGTTCAATATAAATAGTTTACTTTGTGATCCTATATATTTTATGGTATTTTTAAATTTAAAAAAGTATTGTGTGTGGAGGCGGGAAGAGATGTGTCATAGTGCATGTGTGGAGGTCAGAGAACTACTGTGTGGAGTTGTTTTCTCTCCTACCCCTACATCAATTCCAGGTTCCAGGGATCAAACTCAGGTCACCAAGATTATATAGCTAATGAATACTGAAACTGAATTATAACCTTTTTTTTTCTTTTCTTTTTGAGAGAAATTCTTGCCATGTAGCCCAGGCTGGACTTAAACAATTTGGATTCCCTTTTTTGGGGTGGAGGCAGCAAATGGTACATTGAGGAAAAGTAAGGGAAACACCTTCCAGTAGGAGGGGTTACAAGAGAGGAATTTTTGGGAACTTGAAATCCTCTTGTCACAGCCCTTTGAATTCTAGGATCTTTGCTACACCCCTCCCCCATCCTTTCCTTCATCCCCCACTACCTCCTGTTTACTGAGGATTGAACCCATAACCCTGTGCATGTTAGGTAAGCATTCTACCACTTAGCATCTCCAGCCCTTGGCATTTTCACTTTTTTTTTTTTTTTTTTTTTTTTTTTTTTGAGACAGGGTCTCCTTATAGCTCAAGCTGTCCTGAACTCAGAAGTCCAGGTTGGCCTGCACCTCATAAAGCTCCACCAGCCTCTGCCTCCTGTGTGCTGGGATTAAAAGGCATACACCACCATGTTGGGCCAACCCTGGATCATTTTTTAATGATCATTAAAATTGGGTTTCTAGGGACTGGAGAGATGACTCAGAGGTTAAGAGCACTCACTGCCCTTGCAGAGGACCCAGGTTTGGTTCCCAGCGCCCAGATGGCGGCTATAACTCCAGTCCTGGGAGACCCAATGTCCTCTTAACGACCTGAGGGCGTTGCATGACACAGATGCACTTACATGCATGCAAGCAATGCAGTCATAATACACATAAAATAAAAATAACAAATATTTAAAAATTGGGTTTCTACTTGAGTTTTTCCCTGAAAAATTAATATTATTACAACCACTTTACTAGAAGGGTAATTTTCTTTTTTTTTCTTTTAATTTTAAAATATTTTATTTTATGTGTATGAGTGTATTGCCTGCGTGTATGTGAGTGCCACCCGTGTTGTGCAGTGCCGCGGAGGTCAGAAGAGGGCTTTAGGTTCCCCTGGAACTGGAGTTAAGGACGGTTCATAGCTGCCATGTGGGTGCTGGGAATCGAATCCGGGTACTCTGCAAGAGCAGTCAGTGCTCTTAACCTCTGAGCCATCTCTCCAGCCCCAGAAGGGTAATTTTCAAGTGCCATGGTGCACATATCTGGAGATCAGAAGACAGCTTTTGAGAGTAGCTTCTCTCTCTACTATACGGGTCAAACTCGGGTCATCATGCTTGGCAGCAAGGGTCTTTACCTGCTGAGCCGTTTTGCCAGCACTTCAGAGGTGTTTTTAAGTACAGCCACATTGTGTGTCACATCAGCAGCATCTACCTCCAGACTTTTTATCTCTTGCAAAACAGTCAGAGCCTGTTAAACAATTCATTCATTTCCTTTTGCCTTTTTTTTTTTTTTTTGTCTTTTTGAGATAGTGTCTCCCTGTAGCCCCAGCTGGTGGCCTGGAACTTGCTATGTAGACCAGGCTGGCCTTGAACTCACAGAGATCCACCTGCCTCTGCCTCCCGAGTGCTGGGATTAAAGGGGT